CCGCAACCTCCCGAAACGGAGAGCCCTGTAGAGGTGTGTCACCACCTATATTTGTACAACACACAAATATTGGTGTTTAAGTAGTCCTAGTGGAGTGTCTTGTTGGTGAAAACCCTGTGAAATGTGTGTTGCTGCGTGGTGTTAGGCAGTGGAAATAAGTAGATTTGTTCAAGTGGCTTAATCTAGTACAGCCTCAGCATGGTAGTCTGGAAATATAAAAAACCCATGTAAATTAGTCCCAAATCTTTGTTCCTTTCAGCCATTTCCCTTATGCTCCAAGGGAGACACCGTGAGAAGACTCCTCTCAAATTTCCCTGCATTGGCAAAATGAGATCTTGTTTCTCTGGCTCCTAATGCTGAATTTGGTTTTCCCTTTTTCTAACATACTTAAAAACGTAAAGGAAATGGAGGTGTCAGAAGTTATTAGTGGAAGCTTCATAACCCCAGAGCAACTGGTGTCCCATTTAAAATGCCCCAGTGGAGCAGCTCATGGTCACTTCACATCTTCAGGGTCCCTGGCTCTGGGGGAATTGGATGTGTGGGAGCATGTCCTTTGTGAGATACCCCAGTATCAGTTTGCATAAAACAGATTATTTTTCAAAATGAAGACTTGAAAATTTATGAAATCTCAAATTCTTTGGAAATTAATGGCACATCCAGAGATGGCATTGGTAAATCGTACAACTGAGTGCCAAATCAGTGCAAATCTAAGTGAAACAACGTGAAAATCTGAATCGAGGACAGTGTTGATTCTGTGAGCTATATAGACAGGAAGGTTGTAAATATATTTTGAGATCATGAAGGAAAAAAATGTTTGTGGTGGTTCAGACTTTTGTATCTGTAATTTTTGTGGAATAGTGTTTAAATGTAAACCAAAACTCTGAGTGGTCATCGAAGGCCTTTGAGATGTTTTGGAGATGACTCCTGGTTTAAGATGGGTCCCTGGAGAGAGCAGTTGTTCTACACATTTTCAGATGCTTTAAAGCAACAAAAACTTCATGTGCTTCAGGTTTGCAAACTGCAAGTTCCATTTCTTAAAATTAATATCTGAAGCAAGAGAGATTTGATTTGGAAACATGCACGTGCCAAGGGACTCTGTTCAGTGACACCCCCTGAAGGCCCTGGTGTTGGAAGGGAACCCCCCAGGTTTTTCCAGGGGCCCTCCACAGTCTCAAACGAGCTTCACTGACCACGGGGAGATGTGTTGAAGTCGCTCCCGTCCCCAGAGGTGTGTGTCCATTGGGGTGGGGTGTACCTGTGTGTCTGTGCATGGGCATGTGTGGGCTGAGCTCCTGGGGACTTGTGTGTGTTACTGGTGACTGTACAACGAGACAGACCCTGTGTTCCCTCTGACTCCAGGGGAATGTTGGCACACGTGCATGCTGTGGTGGGCTGCGGGGTGATAAGGTGTCTGAGGGGACAAGTGCTGCCAGGGCCAACTGAGGGCAGATGTCCTGTTTTGAGAGCTTGTCAGTCCATCTTCTTCATCTCCCCCCTTGCATTCAACTGTGACTTCCCTTAGTATTCCCCCTGAGTGCCAAGATGTTGGTGTCTCTTGAGTGTTTTTCTGCTTTAAAATGAAATTTCTGCACGCACAGCAGGAGCTTGATCAAACTCTACCACAGAGGCAACTGGAGGATCATAGAAGGGTATGTACAGCAGTCAAGCACGTTCAGAACTAACCCTCAACCTTTTCCTTTTAAACAGTGAAGCCTAAGTTATGTAAGAAACTTGTGTGTTAACTGCTCTTGGAAAACCTAAAATGATGAGCCGTGTTTATGAAGGGGGTGCTGGTGCCCCTTGTGTTACATGGAAGGGGCAAGTGCTTGGCAGCTCCAGTTAAACCTCTGATCCTGGTCCAGTCCATTCACACTGTCAAAACTCTCCCCTTTGGTGGTGATCACTCAGTTATGAAGTGACATTAATCAGTGCTTGTGTAGTTGGCTGCTTTGGCCACACTACCCCTTCGTAACCCGTGCTGCAAAATCCATGTCATTAATGCCTTTCTCCATTTCTTCTGCTCTTGTAGCTGGGAACAGAACAGCAACAACAACTTATAACTGCTTCACTTTTAAATATTATCCAAGATTCTCTGTTTTAATCAGGTTTCTGATATCACTTAGAGTTGTGTGTTGCATCTGCATTACTGATACATGCACAGTAATGTTTGTATATGGCTTAGTTTACCTGATGGTGAACACAGATGAAACTGGATGTTGTTGGGTTTTTTTGAGGTACCATATTTGATTTTTCTGATTATTGCCAAACATCTGATATTTGTTTGCACGTTGCCCGCATCAAAGTGGTGCACAGCACTGACAGGATGGTTAAAGAACTGTTCTGGAGCCAAGCATTGCAGCTGAATTAATTGGAACATTTCTTAAATACCACTGATTTTTTTTTCTTCTCCCCTCTACTTTGATCACATACTGATATTTCATTAGCTAACATGGTGGGTTTGCATAAATCTGTAGGAAGCAAAGCTTTTTTTTCCAGATAGAATTTGAGATGCTGGTGACTGTGTATTGCCAGCCCTCCAAACCCATGGATGAGCACGTTCTCAGACTAGAAGCAACTGCTTGACACCTATTCCTACCTGTATTTTCCGGTGATTTTTGTCTTATTTTGGATACACAACTCCTGCAGGCACCAGAGGTCCTCTTGGTCAGGTGTCTTCACTCACCCCAACTATTTTGATCATGGAATAGAAGTCACCTTCTGCTCCACAATGGGCCAGAAGGAAAATCTGGACACAACTCCAGGAGCTTTAGTTACCCCCCCAAATTCAGGAGGAGATGGAGTTCAGTGAGCAGCCGTTCTTGCGGATGGATGTGTGTTATCTCTGTAGTAAGTAGTAAAAATGACTGGTTTAAATGCCAGTTGATATGATGACTGACAATTAGTTCAACAGCAGAGGGAAAAGGTAATGTGAGAACTCCCTTGTAACTTCATTTTGTCGTAGGGCTCATGTGGGTATCAAGTTTCCATTCTAATCGGGACATGTGTAGAGGGAAGGTGTAGTTCAGGGGTTTTTTTTGTCTGGCTTGGCCTTGTTCTGTCATGTTGCCTTCCTTACCTGCCAGACTGGGAGCAGGGGGATGGATAAAGCTCTACATCGTGTACCCAACACTCGAATGTCGCTGTCAGTCACAGGCTTTCCTCCGGGGTAGGAATTTGCTGGAGCTCCTGAGCTGTCTCTTGCCTCTCCTACATGTTCACTCTTTGGCCCAAGCGGTGATGGGAAGCGTATGCCCCTTGGAAGAGTGCTCATCTCCTTGTACTGTTGCTTCCACAGGAATTTTCCTTTTTTTTCTGGTTTTTTGGGACTTTTGGAAGCAGCTGATTGGAATGCTCTCCTCGTGTTTATTTTACAACCTGTCTCCCTGGCACTTGCTCCCTCCCCATCTGATCCCATAAAATGCAGCTCCCATGCTGCAGCTTTCACGCTAATAATCCATAGGAACAATTTTTAAGGTGCTGAATTGTGGTGACAAGGAGCAGGTGGTGGGAGCCCCAGTTTGAGCCCCAGCCCTGCAGGGAGGGCAGTGATCCCTCACCAGCTCCAGGCACATGTTGGGCTTCTCCCTTTGGAAGTGATACCTGAAATTTGGTAAAGAACTTAATTTCCAGACAGGTTTTTGTCTTTTTCTTTTTTTTGGGAGGGTGGTTTAAGGATTTCCTGAAGTTACCTTCGTGAGTGCCAGCTTTGCATCAAAGCAGTGTGACTGCAGCAGTGCTGGAGTTCTGTGTGAGCCCATTAATGCGCATTTATGTTGCTCCATTTACTTTTTTGTGTTTTAAAGGCCTCTTGTGAAAGTTTAAAAAGTAAGACTTCATTTTTATGTCAGCTAATATATTAAATGACATCTTGACTCTATAGTCAGACAACTAATTTCATTTAAAATACAGTTGAAAATCAGTGACGAGCGTGTGTTTTGCAAGTGGAGATAAAGATAAGATACTTTAGTTCTTCCTGACATATTTTTAATATGAAATTATTCTTGGCTAGCTTTTTTTTTTTTAATTATTATTTATGTATTGAATCCCCAGAAAAGCCCCTCCCTCCCCTCTCAAGCACTGTCCAGGGTGGTGCTGCTGTGACCACGCTGCCATCAGCAGTAGCTCCCGGTTACAATAATCCCCAGTTTTCCTTTGTGCACAAAGACCTTATAAAAACCCGTTAATCCCGGTGTGGTGTTTGTGTGCTGCTCATTGCTTTGTCCAGTTCCCCGAATTCCTGGGAATTCCTGTAAGGACTGGAGAGGGAGCAGTGCAGGGCCCGTGGGTTGTTTGCTCTGGGAGGTGGTTTGCTCTGGGCTGACGCAGTGGCTCATGCTGGGGGGACGTTCCGGGCGCTCCGGGGATTTGGGGTTATCTGAGGACTGGTGCCCTGTGGAGTCCAGGGCTCATGTGCTTGGATGCTGACTGCTGGCGTGAGCGGCGGCTGGGGCAGCTGCCAGCAGGGAACAAAGGGCTGGGATTCAGCGGGATCGCTCGGGTTTCCGCTCAGCAGCTGCTGATGGAGGGAGAAAGGAGCACATCCCTGTAAAGCTGGTGAAATGGCAAAATGGGATAGGTGTGGGAAGATGGGATTGCTCCTCACAGCATCATTTCTAATGTTCCTCTTGTGCTAATCTGCCTCTTAATTTTGTGTTGGTGCTGTACAGATGCAACTTTTTTACATTTAAGACCAAGACAGTAGAACTTAATTTAAAAAAAAAAAAAACAACCTCTTTGAGAACAAAATCTGTCTAGAGAGCTCTACACAAAACCTGACCTGGAGCTGTTCCTGTGCTGGGAACCCATGATCTTACTTGAGCCCCATGAGACCCCCCGGTGTCCCAGCCTGCCCGAGCACAGCGGGAGTTACTGGGTGGATTTTTCCCAATCTCCAGGGTTTCGGTTCCCCCCCCCTTCACCACAAGAAGGCAAACAATAACAGCAGTGGTTTGTTTGTTCCTGAAGCTCACATCATGATTTCATTCTCCTCTTTAATCAAGGGTGAGGCGCTCAGGCAAGTGTTGGTCAACCGTTACTATGGCAACGTGCGGCCTGCTGGACGGCGGGAGAGCCTGACCACCTTCGGCAACGGGCCCTTGTCCGCTGGCGGCACCGGCAAGGCCGGGGCGGGAGGTAGGACCTGCTCCTGCTCCTCGTGGGACCTGTGCTCTGCCCTGCCCCGTGGTCTGTGACTGTGTCTGCCCCACAAATCAGCACCTTACACGTGAAACAGGGATTTTTTCCCCCCCCCCTCACTGTCCTCCTCTATGAACTCCCAAAACCAAGGAAGCCGTCCACATGGATGACTGCCTTTGAGGCAGCAAAATGAAGCAGACAGCTTTTTATGCTTTCCAGAGACTGCCTTGGGTTGGCTTAAAGTTTGTGATGTTGCTTTGAAAAAATGTACTCAGAAATCCCGATCAATTTAATTAATATATGAGGAATGTGCTTATAAGGATGTCAGATTATTAACCGTATCTGGAACAAAACCATTTCATGGTATTCCAGAGAGACTGGGGGGTAGGATGAGGGAAAATTCTGTTTGAAGTCAGTTATAAAGTGCAGTTTATTTAATTTGAGACCATTGCCAAAAAATCAATAGTCATAGAATCCCAGACTGGTCTGGGTTGGAAGGGGCCTTAAAGCCCATCTCGTTCCAACCTCCTGCCATGGCAGGGACACCTTCCACTAGACCAGGTTGCTCCAAGCCCTGTCCAGCCTGGCCTTGAAGAGAGGTGCCATCAGCGTGGGGTCAATCTCAGCCTGTTTCTCATGATCACCTTTATAGGAGGAAGCTCCGGATCGAGTTCAATGAGCCGAGGGGAGATGAGTTTGGCAGATGTCCAGTGTCATCTGGATAAAGAAGGTGCATCCAACCTGGTCATAGATCTCATCATGAATGCCACCAGCGACAGAGTCTTCCATGAGAGCATCCTGTTAGCCATTGCCCTGCTGGAAGGTGGGAACACCACGATACAGGTAGGGAAATGGAAAACTTCTTGTGACCAAACTGTTGGGAAAGGAAGTGTTTTTACAGAATCCAGGAAACTTGAGGAGTTTAAGGAGATGGGAGGGGAAATGACTAAAGGATCTTTGACCTGTAATTTTGGGAAATATTAGTGTCTACCATGCAAAAGTGAACTTATTAAATGCTTTCATGGGCATTGGGTAACTGAGGTGTTTCCCAGGGCAGTATAGAGGAATGTCTAATAAAACAGCTTTGTAGGTAAGTTATTGACTGCTCTTACAAATTAGTTTAAGCAACTGCAGTGTGCTCAGACTTTTACAACGAGGTGTTAGATTTCAGACTGGAATTTGAAATAAGTGTATGGTAAACTCCAGACCACTGCTGTTCTCCTGCAGTCTTGCTGATCTTCATTTTTGTGTTTTCAATAAGGATTTGATTTCCCTAAATGAAAATTGTGTCTGGTGTGGATTGTAATGAATACACAACAACAAGCTTGTACATTATTCTTCCAAAGAGAAAGTAAAACCTTATTGCAGAAAAACATGCTTGTAAAGATGATTGTACATGTGGTATCTTACTCTTTTGGCTCTGCATGTGCTGTGTTTGCAGACTGTCTGTGGGGCTGAATCCTGACTGGTTATAGTTGATCATTGAGGTTAAAACACACACTAGATCCCTACAGCAGCACCTCTTGTGTCCATGCAAACTTCCCTTGAGAGGACAGGGAATGTCTTTGGGCTCCTTTGCTTGTCCCTGTAATCAGTACCTCTTTTTTTTCCCCTGTGTCTATGCTCTGAAGTGAAGCTTCTTCGTAGAAGACAAAGTGGGAATTGAGTGTTGAAAATCGTACGTCACCTTAAACTGCAAGGACAGGATTAACATTCCTTGGGGACAGTCACTCCTTTAAATTTTCTGCTCTTCTCTAATGTAAAGGAAGCTGAGCTTTCATATTCCCAGCTCTCAGGGAGCCTCAGGTAACCTCACACTGTCATGCTGGAAGGAAAAACAAACTGCACCAGCCTGATGTGGTGAGATCCTTTGCTTGTGCTGGACCCCAGCACGGATGGACTGAGCAAAGCACCTCCCACTGAGCACGAACCCGTGTTGGGAGCAGATTCCATAGTTCACCCGGTCAGAACAAACAGGGAAACCTGCAGTCCCCCTCCAAAGACGTCTTTTCCACCAGAAAGGGAGATGGTTTGGTTTGCATTTGCTGTCCGTAGCTGGGAGGCTGTACAATAACCCTGTGGTCAGCAAGGAGCCGTTGGCATGGGATGCTCGGAGCAGCGTGTGACGCTTCCACACCACACACTCCTGCCAGGCTCTGCTGCTCTCCAGCCTGTATACGTACGTGGTGCTTCCACAAACCAGAGGAACTATTTTCCATGCTTTCCCACTCAGGAATAAGTGCTTGGCAGGTGTCTTTAGGACGTGCTCTGGGCAGCCAGCACTCACTCGGTGCGTCTACGTGCTCCAGCGCAGCAGGACAGGCTGGGAGGGGGCTCTGGTGTAGTGTGGGCTGCTTTTAAGTACAAAATGTTTTAGGAACCAAATGACTCGTGGTGCCTACAGCTAATGCTGGGAGCTCTGAGGGCTCGGACACACCCAGGAGCTCTTACTCATGCATGCAAAGCACACATAGATGTTATTGAAAATATCCCGTGGAGCAGTTGGGATGCAGATATCCTGTGCTGGAACGCTCCACGGGCTTGACAGCAAAAGGCAAAAAAGAGGGTTTATCGGTGCTCAGACATGTTCCCTGGTTTCCCTCTGCATTGGTTAAACTGCTGGTGGTGGGGAGAGTGTTTTCTGGTGCCTCGCAGTGGCTTCGGCACAGTCAGGGCCTGTGGGGATGATGGCAATGGCAGTTGGGAGCAGCCTGTACTCAGCACTCTGATCTCTCAGTAGGGTTTTAGTCATGAGAGCCAAGTGAGTAGAACTTCAATGGGAAAAACACCAACCACAAAGCTTAACTTCTGGGAGAACAGCTGGGAATCAAAGAAAAGGTGGAGGCTTGCTCTTTAGTAAAATCATCAGTTTGGGTCTGTATCTCCCAAGTAATTGCTGAATGATGTGATGGCCAAGTCAGACTGGTATCCTGAGACGGTGAACTCAGGTAATCCAGCTTTGCTGTCTCCACGTATGAGAGTGGCTGATGTGCTCTGAGTGCAGAGGGCTCTGGTGCAGCCCAGCTCTCAGGAGAGCTCTGTGGGTACTTGATAGTCTGCAAAGCTGATGTTTTTTAGACAGCAGCCTTTGGCTACAGCACAGTCGAGATCTACTGAGGGCAGCAAAGAGATGGTCTCCCACTTAGTAGGATTTCATTTTTACAAAATACACTGCAGCTTTTGTCTGCTTATGGAAACTAGATGCACTTACAAAAATGAACGCAATACTTTCTCTAATCTGTGTTCTTTTGGTAAGTTCTGCAGAGTAGGTAGGTGGGGCTTGGCAGACTGCAACCTGCAGAGTAAATTTGCTGAAGTTTTTCGGCAGTTTCCAGTAACTGCCAGTGGAAGAGTCATCTTCAGTCTTTGGACTAATAACTGTGTTTGTTTTGCATCACGTCCATTTGTCATTGTGAAAGTTGACCTAGCCAAACCAGCCAGCTTTTCTTTGAGGTCTAACACAGTTTATCTTCATTTCATGATTTTTTTTTCCCTATTATTAGTGGCTTTTGATTTATAGTATTCTGAACAAGTTCATTCTGTGCTCAGTTTGAATAATTTTTAATGAACTTCAATTACTTCTGTCTACAGGCCTTTGAAAATAGGAAGCTGGTGGGATAGGGACAGGTTATGTAAAAAAGGCTTTTTGGCAGCAAGGCCAGAAATGTGTCACCCCTGCATGGCATTTTCTTAGCTCCAGGTTTTCACACGGGAAATTAATTCGGCCTGAAGTGAAGCAGAGGGTTTGTACCAACACACAGGAACTTGCACATGATGATTGTAATATGGTTAATAATGGGAGTTCCCGGGTAACTCCCATGAGCTTCAGTGGGAGAACAGATCCCCATGATGCTGGGAAGGGATAACTGGAATAGGTGTTGCTGTTTCATTAGGTAGAGGCAGGGCCAATATTAAGGGTAGGCAAAGTAGGTGGTTGCCAACTCTTGCAAGAAAGCAAATCTAAAGATGTTCCTTATTCTAATTGGCAGGAGGGATTTTTATTGTATTGTTAAGAAGATTAATGTGGGGGAGAAGCAGGACAAGAAAAAAATACTCCTGGTTTCCCTTAGGAAGGAGGCTGAGCTGGTATGTGGCACAGTGAATCCCACGCCACTGTGTTCTGCTAGAGGGGTGAATGTGGCAAATGAGCTGTTCTGGGAAGGTCTTTGCCCACTTAGGCTTCTCTGGATGGAAACTTTCTGGGTTTTAGTTTTTGGAATTCACTTAAAAACCCTGTCAGGTTCTTTGGTAGCAGGGCTGGTGGTGGCATTGTCGTGGCTGTGTCCCGTGAGCTTGTGGCTCAGCGGGAGCCCTGGATCTCGGTGGGAAGCCTGCCCTCATTTATACGGACACAGAGGCAGAGGTGGAACCTCGGGGTCAGCACCGGCCAACAAATTAACCTGACAAACAGTGCAGCTCACTGAACTGCAAATTACATCAACCCCTTTATTAATTTATATAACCCTCAGCATCCACCTCGGGAGCGCTGCAGTCAGCGGTTCTGCACGGAGCAGCCCTGGGAGGATGCCCCACGCTCTCCTCCGAGGGGGGAGCATGCCCTGCATCCAGGGAGGCACCTGTCCCTGGGGTGCTGGTTTGGGTTCCCTGTGCCCGAGCTGGCATGGCAGTGCCTTGCTTGTGGAACTGCGTCTCCTCAGGAAGGGATAAAACTCGGTCCATTCCCTGCACACGCAGCAGCACAGGGAGCTCTGCTCTGCTAAAGCAACCTTGGCAAATGACTGACAGCGGAGGAGATTGCTGAGGACTTGTCCTGTAACACTTGTCTCTCATCTGCTAAATAAAAATTCCATGTGCCGTTACTCTGCCTCACCTCCGCGGGGTTTCGGGTTTCCTTGGTCGGTGGAAGTTAATGGCAAGTGGAGTCCCTTACGTAACACCTCTCCATGGAGACCCTACTCCTTTAATTAGGGATCTTCTCCAAAGTCAGCTTGCGTGACAAATTTCTCACACGCACATGTTGATATTTTCAGCCGGGGAAGGTAAAATGAGGTTGGTGACATTAGTTTTGTTGCAGGCATTTTTTAAGCACTGCCCCAAAGTGGCGTGAGGCACGTCTGCCCCTTCAAGGGCAGTGGTGCCTTCATTTTCCTTATCCATAGTTCTTCCCAAGGTGGGCTGCAGACACAGGGAATGAGGTGATGGGACTCAGCACCCAAGGGAAAAGGTGATTATTTTTCAGGGAAGAATGACTTTTGCTGCTGACACAAGTCACAGCTTCTGCACAGAGGAGAGTGCACACAGCACTCTCTGTCCCGCAGCAGCTGAGTGTGGGGTGAGGACCAGGGGCCACCCTGACTGGAGATAGCACCGAGGAGCTGGTGGTGGTGGACTGCAGTTGTGTCTCTGTCACAGCATGGCAACAGTGAATCTGTGTAGTGTGGAATTGTGGCTTGGAGCTCATCAGTGTGTGAGGCTCCTTTTGTGCAAAAAGCCTTGTGGTTTCAGGTTGCTTAAACTTCCAGAGCTCTTTGGTTCAGCCTGCACCCATGAGCTGAGTGTTTTGTGTGCCTGACAGGGCCGAGGGCTGTGCTGCCCATCAAACGGGTACCACGAGGGGCTTGGAAGCAGCAAGGTACAGAAACCCCAGCAGCCACCTCTTCATCAGTCAGGTTTGGGAGGAGAGGCTGCACTGAACTAACACAGCTCTCCTGTCTCCAGCTCTGGCTTGTGCCATATACGGACTTGAGTCAACGTTTCTCCTCGTGCGTTGCCACCAGTGAGGAAACGCCACCATGGTGAACTGTGGTCTCCTTTTCTGCTCCTCAGGCTGTCCAGAGATGGTGGATAGTTATTAAGTAACTACAGGATTGCCGCACAAAAGG